GCAGCAGCACATACGGGTTGATAAGTGTTCAGCGATCGCTAACAGAATTAACTCGTCTCGCTCTGGCCTGGTACTCATTCTGGCCTCTCATTTTAGGATGCCAGCTTTCGTGCGGCTGCTGGCGGAGCTCGGAATGAGTCGCGAGGCAGAGCGGAAAAATGAGTTCCGTTAGCGATCGATTAACGTTAATCGTTGAGTGTTAAAGTCTCCCGATCAAAACCACCAAGACAACGAGTTCGTGGTTCAATGGTTAGAGTTTTAGCCTTCTGATCAAAAGGGTCCTGAGTTTGGGTCTCAAAAAGACTGTGTATTTTGAGAAGCATTTCAGCATTTAAAGCTATACACAGACGTCTTTCAGAACTTATACGCCTTCGGTAAATTCATTCTTATACATGCGACTGGCACGTCATTTGTTTTAATCCTTTATTTTTACCTCCTCGGAAATCAAGCGTCTATGCATAGCATACGATGCCATCTTGATGTTCTGTCTGTGCATAAAGCAGCACATACGGAAATCCTCGGAGATCTGGTTTTGTAACAAAGAATTGGTCATTACCGAAATATGAAGTTAATAATCAGGTTGAATATGGGAATAAATATAATACGCGCCAGAATAAGTGCAACATGCTGACATATGCGAAAGATTGATACTCTCTCGCTAATTGGCATTGACTCAGGTTGTGATACGGATTATCGTGTAGCCTATTTTGAATTTATTTCAGTCATGAGAGGACGCGGGCTTTTTAAGGAGCTTTATTATGACCACTAAGAAAACGTAGGTACTGTAAAAAGTAATAACTTAAATAGTATGAGTTTTCAGCATGGATTTTGACTGCTTTTACAAATCCAAATATATTTTGTGGAAAACATGCACGAAAAAATTATTTCTTATATTAGTTTGGTAGCAAACTACTTCTTCTGTAAATTGTATACTTAAAGAAAGGGTATCCTTAGGCTTTTAAAAACTTTCTAAATTGCCGAATAATTTTGAAACTTACTGACTGCTACACTGGAATTCAAGATTAACAAACTGCGCATTGTATACATTCTGTATAGGGAAAATATTACGTTTTCGCCTACAGTTTGAGGAAGAAGTGACATAATTGTCATTGAATGTTGCAATAGATATGGAGCATTTTGTATGTATTATAGGTAGCTTTAATAAATTGACAGATGCGATTTATAATGAATGAAAACCTCACAATCGTAAAAAAAAGCTCATAATTAGAAACATTTTAAAACCGAAGGATACACTTTCTTTAAGTATAACATTTAAAGAAGGCGTAATTTACTACCAAAACTGTATATGAAATAATTATTTCGTGCATGTTTTCCATAAAATATACTTGAATTTATAAAGGCAATCAAAATCAATGATACAAACGCATACTATTTAAGTATTTACTTTTTACAGTACCTACGTTTTCTTAGTGGTCAGAACGAACCTTCTTAATAAGCCCGCGTCCTATCGTGACTGAAATAACTTCCGAATACACTACATGTTAATCCGTATCACAACCTGAGTCAATGCCGATTAGCGAAAGGGTATCAATCTTTCGCTTATGTCAGCATGTTGCACTTATTCTGGCGCGTACTTTTTTCTGCGAATTTCATGTGGTTATGTGCTAAAGTTTTAAGGGTACTTATTGCCTTGCTTGTGACACACCCTTTAAACGATTGGGATATTTATGAACGATATGTAAATTTGCATTTTTCTGTGGATCACTAAATTCTTGAGTCAACTTGACAATGTTGTATAATCCAACAAGCCCAGTCGGAGAGAAGTTCCTCCTGTTCTATGCAGAGCGTGCCTTCCGACTTGTAACAACAATAATGCTTATATGAAATGCTATGATCTACTTCAACTGCGGGCTGTGTCCCTATAAAATACAATTAGGCAAAGGCATACCACCCATCTTCACAAGTACTGATAGGCGTAGATAGGTTTCTTGGTTC